ATAAATGGATAATAAAAAAATCAAAAATAAAATCATTATTAAAATAATGATAAAATTTATTATAAAACTACGTACATGGTTACGGTTGGATATTTTTGAATAGATTCTACTTCAAAGTACATAATAATTATATAGCGTACTTATAAATTTTGTTTACTGAATCTATGAACTTGTCACAATTTTAGAATAGAATACAATAATTTACATTAAAGCATAATAACATTACAATTAATGTTCGATAATAATTACTAATAATATAATGCACTATCTTTATTGTTAATACATTTTGGAAACACAACATATGTGTAATTTTCACGAACTATATAATCGTTAAGGAAATGACAAGTCATTTCAAATAACATACATCAATCATTGTCATTTATGTAGTCTTATATTGTTATGAAGCTTTTTTCTAATCATTAAATTCACACTTTCTTATCATTCAAAATCTTTATCAATGCATATCACTGTTTAAAATGAAACAAAAAATACTGAGCACTTCAAAAAGAATCCACCATATTGAAATAGTATATCATTTTTTTTGCTTCGAAATATAGAAAAAAAATTCAAGAAATTAATATGAATATAATATCATAAACATCTAATAGAAAAATAGATATAATAATAGAATATCTATAATATAAAAGTAACTATCTATAATATAAAAGTAACTATCAATATAAAAGTAATATAAAATTTTGCTTTGATATAAAAAAATAATAATAAAAAATATTATTTTTAATTATTTTAAAAATAGAAAAATAAATCTTATAAATGTAAATATTTATATCTTCTTTTTAATTAATATTTATATATGCAATTTATATTAAATAAAATAATAGTGATAGTTATATTATCAAGAAATAAAACTTCTTGATAAAATCATATATATGCTAGTTGATTGTAATAAGAAATAATGCTAGATTTAAATTTAAATGGAATGTTTTCAATGCAATATTCATAATACAATAGTTTTCATGAAAACTTCAATTTCATTAATTTATTAGTTAATAGTCGTTTTATTTTCATATTTTAAAAATTACATTTTATGTATTGTATGATAAATATGTATTAGTCAAAAGAGACATATGAAGTCATAATTATTTTCTATTATTTATCTTAATTATTACATCATTATGTGATCGAACACTATTTCAAAAGTTACGTAGCATGAAACAAGCAGTTTCCTTTCCTCAATCTTGAAATCAACATAAAGTTGAAGAATTTAATATAATATTTGAATTATTAAAGCTATTGAAAAAAAGTTTAAAATTTACTTTTATTATTTATTTTTAATAAGTTTGAAAAATTTAATTATAATTTAAATCTTAATTATGGAATTTAAACAACCTAATGGACCTAGTTATTGTACATGGGAATTAAATGCAACAAATTCACCACATACATGTAGAACAGAGTAAGTTTATAATAAGAATATTTATTAATGAGATTTAATAATAATTTAATAAATAAAATAATAAAACGAAAACTTCAAATATTCTTAAATTATTTTCAATATTTTTAAAAATTATTTTAAATTTTAATATATTATTTAAACTTAATATAAAATATTTTTTTTTATTATATAAGTATTTATATTTTTCTTTAAATAATATTTCTTAAATTTATAAAAAAACTTAAGATCTAAAATAAAAATATGATTTTGTTTTAAAAATAAAAAATTTGAAATTTTAAATTTATTGTTGTTCAAATTATATATATATATATATATTAGTTTATGATAAAAATAATAAATATATAAAAATTAATATATATAAATATAAATATATAAAAATTAATACATATACATATATATTATACATATAATATATATAATAGTGTTCTTATTTATAATATTTTCATAAATTATTATATAATTATATTAATTTTAATAATTAATTAATATAAAAATATTAGAAATTCAATAATATATCATATAAAAAATTGTATATTATTAATATATGTATATATAATGTGAATTTACTTAATATTTAAAATATTGTTTATTATTAAGATTATAAGAAGTTTTAAAATAGTTTGAATTATAAAATTATTTTATAATTTTATTATAAAATAATATATATATTATAATAAAATAATATATTTTATTATAATTCATTTTATTATTATAATAATTTTAATTTCATTTATATAAATAAATTTAATTTGATATTTTATTTTATATAAAAATCTATATAATTGATGAAAAACTTAAAACAAATTATATTTTTGCTACAAATATACTTATTTTTTAATTAGTTTTTATATTTTTAAATTCCTAATTATATTAGAAAATTTAATTTATTTCTTTATTTTTTAAGTTTAAATTTATTATAGACTTTTTTTATTATATTTCATTAATATGGTTTAATATGATTTCAGAAGTGGTGATTGTACTAAGATAATGCCTGATATTTTAACTGCTATTGGACAAACACCACTCATAAAATTAAATAATATTCCTAAATCTTATGGTATAAAATGTGAAATATGTTAGTATTAATCTTGTTAATTTATTATGCTATTTATAAAGTTTTTTTATAAATGTAATTTTATTTTTAGATGCAAAATGTGAATTCCTTAATCCTGGTGGTTCTGTGAAAGATAGAATTGCATATAGAATGATTCAAGATGCAGAAGATAAAGGTTTGTTGAAACCAGGATATACTATTATTGAACCGACAAGTGGTAATACTGGAATTGGATTAGCAATGGCTGCTGCAGTTAGAGGATACAAATGCATTATTGTTATGCCAGAAAAAATGTCTGATGAAAAAGTATCAACACTTTATGCACTTGGTGCTGAAATTGTACGAACTCCAACTGAAGCAAGTTGGTATAGTCCAGAAGCACATATCAGTGTTGCTCAAAAATTACAAAAAGAAATACCAAATAGTATTATTCTTGATCAGGTACTATTATTATATTATTAAATATTGCATAGTTTTATTTTAATTATTTTCTATTTGTATTATATGTTTAGTATACTAATCCTGGAAATCCATTGGCTCATTATGATCAAACTGCAAATGAAATTTGGAAACAGTGTGAAGGTAAAATAGATTATTTGGTAGCTGGTGCTGGTACAGGTGGTACCATTTCAGGTATTGGACGAAAATTGAAAGAATTATCACCAAATATAAAAATTATTGCTGTGGATCCTAAAGGAAGTATTTTAGATCCATCAATTGAATCACAAAATGAAGTTGGCTTTTATGAAGTAGAAGGAATTGGGTGTGATATTTTTTTATCTATTCTATTTACTAATATTGTATGCAATTTTATTTTTTATTTTGATGATAATGATCAATTATTTTTAGTTATGATTTTATACCTACAGTGTTAGATCGTAATGTAATTGATAAATGGATAAAGACTGAAGATAATGAATCATTAAATGCTGCTAGAATGCTTATACGCCAAGAAGGTTTACTTTGTGGTGGTAGTAGTGGTGCTGCTCTTATAGCTGCTCTTAAAATAGCTAAAGATATTCCTGAAGAAAAACGTATGGTAATTGTTTTACCTGATGGAATACGAAACTATTTAACTAAATTTGTATCAGATCATTGGATGGAAACTAGAGGATTTTTGGTAAATTACTTATTTTTATTTAAAAATTCTTTTTTTATAAATTTGAATAATGAATTATTGAATAATTTACAGCAACCTGTATGTCAAAATGAAATGAATAAATGGTGGTGGAATATGAAAATTTCAAATTTATCTTTTGATAAACAATCATTGTTAAAGGAAAATACAGTAACATGTCAAGAAGCTATGCATATGCTCAAAAATGCAGATTCACAATTATTAGTTATTAGTGATGATAATATACATATAAAAGGTGTTATTAGTTTGAACAAACTTACATCATATGTTGTATCTGGTATAATAAAATGTACAGATTTTGTAGATAAAGCTATGGTTAAACAATATGTTAAAGTTAAACATTCAGCAACTCTTGGTTATATATCACGTGTTCTTGAAAAAGAATCATATGCGATAATTTTAGATGATGAACATGATGATGCTTTCATTGGAATTATAAATCAATTTCATATTTTGCAATTTATAACCAAAAATGGTACATCTAATAATTATTTAATAAATTAAATCTTAAACATTAATTTAATTGTTAAAATGCTGTTAAAATTATTGCAACTGATTATTATATTTCTCAATTTTTTTATTTTTATTATACTTAATTTTTAATTAAAAACGAAAATTGGACCTATCTAAAAACTTATATGAATAAAAATCTAATTATGTATTTAATTTATAAATGTTTAAAACAAATATTCCAAAAAAGTCAAAATTATTAAATAATTATTTGTATATATTTTTAGATTATATAAATATATAATTTTATATTAATATATAATTTAATTTTATACTTAAATAAAATTTAAATAAAACACATATATATATATATTCAAATACACGTAAATTTTTAATTAATTATTTTTACTTAACTAATAAATATAATTTCTTATAGAATATAAATGAAGACAATA